GGGAGGACTTCAGAGTATCCTTGTAACGGCGAATTTGGCCTCCTTGACGACGAGAACCCGTCGCGACGTCTCCGTAGAAGAGTCGTTTGGGTAGTCGCTCATCGTCCATGCGCACCAGGTGGCCGCTCCAGCGCAGCTGCATCTGTTTCAGTATGGCGTAAATGCTGAGGATTCCCGTTCGTTCCAGTACTTCCGTGTCGGGGATTCGATCCTGCCAGTTCAGCCTTAGGATGCGACGGAGACAACTGAGGTGGAAGTGGTTCAGACGGCGTGCCTGCCTCGTGTACACCGTCCAGGTCTCTGCTCCGTACAGTAGCGTCGGCAGGATAACGGCCTTGTACATCTTCAGCTTTGTGCTCAGTTGGAGACCATGACGATTCCAAACTGTGCTGTGGAGGCGACCGAAGGCTTTACTGGCTTTCGAGATCCTGTTGGCGACTTCGTCATCGATCTTGGTGTTGCGGGAGAGGGTACTGCCCAGATACGGGAAGTTCTCCACCACTTGCAGTTGGGTTCCGTTCACTCTGATTTGCGGCGGCGCGTTGGGGGCTGTGGCTGAGTTGGGCGGCGGTTGCGTGTTAATGACCAGCCCAAAGTTCTCGCAGGCGGCGGAGAATAGGTCCATGCTCCGTTGCATCTCCTCTTCCGAGGTGGTGTTCAGGGCGCAGTCGTCGGCGAAGAGGAGTTCGTGCACGGTAGTTGTGGATACGCGCGATTGGAAGTTCATGCGCCGGTGGTTCAGCAGATGACCCTCCGTTCTGTAGGCGATGCGCATTCCAGGGCGTTCGTCGCGGTAGGCGTCCATCAGCATGGCAGAGAGCATAAGACTGAAGAGGGTTGGTGCCAGCACGCATCCCTGCTTCACTCCGTTGGTCACTGCGAATGCCTCTGAGATAGCTCCGTTGTCCGTGACTCGCGCCATCATACCGTCGTGCAGCTGACGCACCATCTGAGTGAATCGCTCCGGACAGCCGAATTTCTGCATGATCTTCCACAGTCCTTCACGATTCACCGTGTCGAAGGCTTTCGTCAGGTCCACGAAGGTAGAGTACAGGTGGGTCCGCATCTCCTGGCACTTCTCCTGGAGTTGGCGGGCTGCGAAGATCATATCCGTGGTCCCACGATGACGACGGAAGCCGCATTGGCTTTCCGGCAGAAGGCCCTGTGCCAGATGGTTGTTGAGGCGGTTGAGCAGGATGCGAGCGAAGATCTTCCCGGCGATGTTCAGTAGGGAGATGCCGCGGTGATTGTCGCAGACTTGGCGATTCCCTTTTCGCTTGTAAAGGTGCACGATAGTTGCGTCCTTGAAATCTTGCGGGACTTCACCTTGACGCCACATCTCCTGGAAGAGCGCAGTCAGGTGATCCATCAGTAGGGGACCTCCGTGCTTGTAGACCTCAGCAGGGATGGCGTCCGATCCGGGTGCTTTCCCGTTGGAGAGCTGCTGCACGGCCCTGATGGTCTCCTGGAGAGATGGCGGGAGGTCGAGGTCCACGTTGGTCGCCACTTGCGGCAAGCGGGCGATGGCGGCGTCGGAGATGACGGAAGGGCGGTTGAGGACGCCCTGGAAATGCTCGGCCCATCGCTGTAGGATTTGCGTCTTCTCAGTCAGGAGAGTGCTGCCGTCGGCGCTGAGGAGAGGAGCGGTGCCCTTCGTCGGCGGACAGTAGACAGCTTTGATCGCGGAGAAGAAGTTCTTCCATTCGTTGCGGTCCGCGTAGCCTTGGATCTCCTCAGCTTTGCGAGCAGTCCAGGCGTCCTGCATCTCGCGCAGTCGTTGCTGAAGCTGTCGGCGACTGCGGTAGAAGGCAGCTTTGTTGTCCTCAGTGGGATGACCTACGTAGGCTTTGTGGAGGCGGTTCTTCTCAGCAAGCAGATTTCTGATGGCGGCGTCGTTGTCGTCGAACCAGTCCTGGTGTTGGCGGGGAGCGCGACCGAGGACGGCGAGCGCCGTCGACTGGACCTTGTCTCGAAGTTGACACCAACGGTTTTCCACGGAGGTGTTCTCGGCAGCGGCGGCGGCGGCGTCGTCGGCGGCAGGGATAGGAAGATTGTCTAGACGTTGAGCTAGCTCATTGCTGAAATGGAGACGGTGAGCAGGCAAAGACAACAAAGCAACATTCAGCTTACCTGGGGGTCGCTTACCTTGAGGTCTCCTGCGAGGCTGTAGGCGAATACGCATCTTCGAGATGACGAGGCGATGATCGGTCCACCCATCAGCACCCGCGATCGCCTTCGTCACCAGCACGTCCCGCTGATCTCGCCTCCGGACGAGGACATAGTCCAGCAGGTGCCACTGACGCGACCGAGGATGCCTCCAGGTGGCCTTCTCTCGCTCCGGCAGACAGAAGAACGTGTTCGTCAGGATGAGGCGGTGTTCTGCGCAGGTGCGGAGGAGAAGCAGGCCGTTGTCGTTGGAGCCGCGGAGACCGTGAGGACCCAGCACTCCCCTCCAGGCAGTATGGTCTGTGCCGACGCGGGCGTTGAAGTCACCAAGGACAATCAACTTGTCCGCCTTCGACACAGTCGCCAAGAGGGCGTGCAGGTCCTCGTAGAATTTGTCTCTGACGGCGTCGGGGTTGGTCATCGTCGGAGCGTAGGCGCTGATGATGGTGGCGAATTTGCCTCCCCAGAGAGGCAGGCGGAGGCTCATCAGGCGATCGTTGATGCCCNAATGGGCGCGGTGGCTGACACGGTCGACGGACCATGACTGCGCGCGCCACAGCACGACCTGGCCCCCCATACTCACAAACATCAGGATTTCACACAACGAGGGTTGAGCGGCTTGTCTCTCACTTGCGTGAGAGGGCCGTGGAAGGTGCTGTTTCAGCCCATCCCCAGCCCACCAGTCCGCCACTACACACAACACACACAGACAACGCGACGAACTGCGTGGACCGAGAGCGGGCGGCAATTATCAACCTTCCTATCCACGACGCTTGACGTGTCGGGATAGTCTCGGGCTCGAGTCACCCGTGCAGCCGAAGCCGCATGGGGACCGAGTCGAGATGCACACTTCTCACTTGCGTGGGAGTTGGCAGTTGAGTTCATGAGGTGTGTGAGTGTTGATGTCTGGTGGGATGATGGTGGAGGAGGGTATGGAGTGTGTGAATGTGTGGTGTAACCGGCGGTGGTCTACCGCAGGTCGTCGTGGATGCGCATGTGACCGAATAGGCCCATGCGTTGTCCGAAGGTGCGAGGGCAGTGTGAGCAGTTGAGACGAGCTTGGGGGGTATAGGTTGGTGCTCCAGGCACTGGTTCGCCAGTCTCTGTGCGATGGATTCGCAAGTGACCGACCAGGCCGATGCGTGAGGTGAATGTGCGTGGACAGTGTGGGCATGAGAAGTCGGCGGTGTCAGCGTCAGCTACAGAGGAGGCGGTGGTGGTGGTGGCGAAAACGGATGGAGCGAGGGTGGGGTTGTGCACGGTGGATGTGGTGGGTGTGTCGGGAGTGCGGTCAGTGCCGCACTCGTGGGTACGCATGTGGCCGAATAGGCCCATGCGGTGCCTGAAGGTGCGAGGGCAGCGTGGGCAGTGGAGGTGAGTGCGATGGGTGTAGGTTGGTGCTCCAGGCACTGGTTCGCCAGTCTCTGTGCGATGGATTCGCATGTGACCGACCAGGCCGATGTGTGAGGTGAAGGTGCGGTCGCAGTGAGGGCAGGTGTAGTCCTGATCCTCACCGCTGGAGTCGGGGGAGGTGGTGGTGGTG